TAGCACAAACAATCAACAAATGGGATCTCTTATTAAAAGGCTTCTGCACAGCAAGAGAAACCACCAGCAATGTGAAGAGACAACCCACAATGGGGCCTCAGAGCCAATTATTTGGTTTTCCATTATTTCTTATGGGAAAAATACGTTCAGTTCTCGAACTTTTTGGTGTTTGAACACGAATTTGGAATGAATTGAGTTTGACAACCGAGGTATCACTGTATTTCAAAATTCTCTGCACTTCTGTTTCTGTGGCTCCAGCCTTCTTTTTCCCTGCAGGTCCATATTCTCATCACTTACTGGGCATTTATCCTCCATTAGTTTGTGTCCCATGGACCTCTCCACTCATGGTGTTCAAAACCCGACTTTCTCTCCCCGAGTAAGTGGCGTATTGATTCATGGACTCATAGCCCCCCAAGCAAGTCTATTCACTTGTTCTCCTTTCCTTTTCCTCCTCATTCCTTGTTTTAGCTGGCCCCCGTGTGGGACAACATGGAACAATCATTCTTACAACATCCAGGCTGTTATTGACATAGTCTCATCTTGGTGTCTCTTGTCTACTATTCTTGGAACCTCACAGCTGATCTTCTCTGACCACTCACCCTCATCCTCTGTCTTCCTGTCATCCCTGACAGCCTGCTTCAGGGTGCCTTCAGAGTTTCCTGCCCCAAGTAAAAGCTCAGCATGCTACTTCTCTACTAGCTCCCTCCAGTGGTTCCACTAGCCACTTTCCCCGAGCCTACAAAATAGCCGGGTTCTGGGGTTGCTTGGAACTTGTTATCCCTTTCTCAGTGCCTCTGACGTGGTCTGCCCACAGCTCTGAGGTTGCTGTTGTGGTATGCTCTGATCATTTCTTTGTGACACTCCCCATTGGAGTTCCTCAACAGCTCCTATCTTTTCCCTGTCCCAGGGAAATATTTAGTAAGACAGTAGATATTCAGTAAATAGTCATGGAATATGTAAGCCTTGCCATTGAACTCTAGTGAGCTTAAAATATGAATTTTCTATTCAATTTATTAATATTTTTATGTTTTTAATACTTGTGGATTTTTAATTTTAGTTCACTAGCCAGATTTCATTTAAAAATTGTGATCTAAGATAAGTAATTAATTATTTATACTTATCTGGTCTTGCATGATTAGAGTTTTCTGCATGGCTTAATCTGGGGCTGGTGCAAGATGGGAGATAACAGAAAAGATGTGAATTTACTTCAGAGCATGCCCACAAGCAGGTAGAGTGGTGACAGTAAGATAAGAATCTGGGAACATCTGACAGATTTCTTGGTGGTTGGGTCTGTTGCAGAGTTGAACGCATGAGAACAAAGTAGGCAGACAGAACAATTGCTGTCCTTGTAATTTCCATGCCTTCCTTCCCTTTGCCATCCTTTCCTTCCCAAAGTTGACTGGTCTCTACCCTGTTTCTCTAATTTCCTGCTGGTCTTTTCAGTGTTCTCCCCTCCTTGTGCTACATGGACTGGGCTCCAGATTTCATGTCAGGACACCCTTCTACAGCCTCACCTTGTGCATCTCCTCATTGTGGTGCTTTAAATATAATTAGTTTGTTGAACTCGTAGGGAGCTTGTAGGGTTCTGAGGACAAAAAGTTAATTGTATTCTAGACATGCTGTGTTATTTGCTTTTCTATTTCTTCTCCTCCCTTCCTATAGAGGAACTAACAGTGCTTTCTTCTTTCTCTGGCAGGTGTTTTTAAATGAGAAGTATATTGGAGTCCTGGATCATTCCACTGATGAGCTGTATATTAAGAGAAATGTATATAGCCCATGTTAATGGACAAATAGTTCTAGTGCCCTGCAACTAGTAAGCGTGGCCTGCCCCTGGGATATCCAGTTTTCTCCTCCATTGTCCTTTGGAATGCCCCTTGCAGAGGAACGCAGGAGAGACAAGGGGAGGGATGTATACATTTCTGAGGTGCTGGTAAATATCCTTTTGGTGGGCAGAGTTTTCCCATCTTGAATATTTGCTACTGAAAAACTATGGGTTGGTCACCAGTCCCAATAGAGTTCCTGATAAAATGTTCAAGTGACTTCCTTCCCTGAAAGGCCAGGCCTGGAGAGTGGGGAATGAGGAGGCAGAGCAGGAGTCTAAGGGTTTGCCTGGCCCAGAGCTACAGGTCCACAGGGTTCTGAAGCCCATGTGCCATCAGTCACTCTCCTCAGGTCCTCTGCTCTGCTCTAGGGGCAACCTAGAAAGTCTGTGGTACTCACTCTGATAGGTCTGCCTTACAGGGCATCCACATCCTGAGGATCCTGGTGGAGAATCAAGGCTGACTTGCCTATGAGCCTGATATCAGCAAGGAGAGAAAAGCTAGGCTCCAAGTGCAGGTGCCTGTGTCCTTGTGCACCAAGTTCCTATGTCTCTTGCTTCGGGCTGAGGGCATTTATGGACAGGAGTGTGTTGGAAGGGAGCATGTTCTCTTGGCTGTGAAAGTCCCACATTTCAAAACCGTGATGATGTCTTTGTGTTCTCTAATTGCCAAACCAGAGCTAGCACATGGCCCTTCCTCTTTCTGAGGGCTTTGAAAGTGGTTCCCTCAGGAAAAAGCTGTAGAGATGTCTCTGGAGAAAAATAATAGTTAGGGTCCCTCCCTAGGCACTTTGCCTTTTCTTGCTGTGAAGCATGGTACTTCGGTGTGTCTTCCCCCTGGCCCCAGCACTGCTGGGCACAGTTCTCACACCTCCTACCTGAAGAGGTTGGATATACCTGAATGGTCAAGCTAACCTGAAGCCCTGTGTGGGAGTTGCAGTGGCTACTGTGATATTAAGGTGGATGGTGCAGGTGCTGTCTAGAAGGTATACATTCAGAAAGGAAAACCTGTATAGGATTTGGGTTGCAGGTATAGCTCAGAGGTAGGGCCTTGCCTAGCATGCATGAGGCCCTGGGTTCCATCTCCAATACCACAAAACAAACAGGCAAAAAACAGTGTTGGAGTTTGCAGAAACTTTCCAGCCAGATGAGGTTAGGAAAGAAGCCTCCTTCAGGGGAAGCCATGGCTGTAGCACGTACATCTCTGCTCTTTCCTGCCTCCTTCATGTTCCCCTTTTTTGCTCTCATGCAGGTTTAACTGGGGATATCTATCTGGACAGTTCTCCATTAAGAAAATTTGTAATCTACAGCCTGGAGATGAAAACTGCATTCATGCAAAGGTGAGTATCTGACCATGGACCCCAAATTGATCAAAGAGGGTGGGCATGGCAAGATTCAAAGAGCCTTAGAGGTCCTGTGGATAAACCTGTGGTCTTCACATAGGAGAGACGGAGCCTCAGAGTGTTGAAGGAAATTACCCCAGGTTTTTTAGTTCTGTGGGAGCAGTGTGGTGACTCTCCTCCCAGCCCTGGTTTCATGTCTTACTGCAATATGCACACTGAATATGCATAGCCAGCACCACAATGGGAGACACCTCCAGGGAGGAGACTGACTTTAAGGTCACAGGCACCACTTTAAAAAGGTATGACCCTGCTTCGAAAGTGCAAGGTCCAGAGTTCAATCCCCGATACCAAAAAACAAAAAACAAAAAAATAATGGTCTGACCATTCTGCTGGCCCTTGACTCTCTCTCAGGAAACTTCCTGACCTCTGGAAATCAGTCACAAAAGAAGTTCAGGGTCCTGCCTTTTTCCTTGCTTTCTTCAGAGTTGGTGATGTTCCCCAACACACCTTCATAAAACTAGAGGTTAGTGTCATCTGGCTGCCCATGTGCCCTCCAATCTCCACGCACGAAGAACCTTTTAAAAAGCTCCTTAATGCATAAGCTCTGCTCCAGGTAGGGAATTAAAACTCCAAGGACCTCAGCCACCTCACAGCCATCTGGGAGACTGCACCATCCCTGGGTGGACCCAGGCAGAGGTGAAATGTAAACAAGTAAGTGCAGCTGAGAAGTGAGTGCTGTTTTCAGTTGGGCCAGCCAAAGAATGCACTACATGGGGACTTTAGAGAGTGTGACTCATGAGTCCCCAAACGTATCCCAGAATGTGAATGTTCATGAACTCACCATTGGGCCTGTGGCAAGATGTTGTAGTGACATGCAGAACATATTGACGGCCACGGCTGAAATTCTACAACTCCAGCTATGTTTTGAGCTCGGTATATTTTGACAAATATCCCATAGTATGTAGAAATTCCATTTGCTGATTTGGAGCAGATGCAGGGAGATGGCATAGAAGTCTGCCCTTCTTCCTGAGCCCTGAGGACTCTCCATTCTCTTTCCACGTAGGGCTTTTGTTGATAATTCACCCTGTCTGAGCAGTGCTGTGCTATAATTGTGTGTGTCAGTGGTGTATGAGTTGCAGTGGTATGTGTGTTCACCCCTTGTGTCTTTTTTTTTTTTTTTTGGTACTGGGGATCAAACTCAGGTCCTTGTGCTTGTGCAGCAGGCAGCCTTGTGTCTTTATATCTGAAACACAGATCCTGAATCTTCTGTTCAATTTTTTTCAGGGCTGGAAGAAAGGAGTCATATTTATCAATGGAAGAAACATAGGATGCTACTGGGATGTAGGTCCCCAGAAAACCCTCTACCTTCCAGGACCCTGGCTTCATCCTGGATCAAATGAGGTGAGTTCCTCCATAGCACCCCTGCCTACCAGTCCACTGTCTTTGAATGCTGCTTTACCCAGAGGCAGAACTTGAACCTCATCCTGCCTCACCTTCTCCCATTTGACAGATTATACTATTTGAGGAATGGGCACCTGGACAGGAGATCCAGTTCCCAAAGAGCCTCTTCTAGGTATGGCATTCTAAAGGTTCAGTTGTAGCTCCTGGATCTTTGTAGCTGAAAGAGAGAAAGAAAGTAGGATGTGCAATATGTCCCAGGACATGGGAGCTTGCCTCATTGCTAGGCACTATAGATAGATCATAGCCACCCTCTTCCCTCCCAGCTAAAGATGAATTCACTAGCCCTCTCCTCCAACAGACCTACCTCAACTCCCTTCTTGACATTCCCACAGTGTTTCCAGAATCCTTGTCTCCCTATAAGCTAATCCTTGCATCCTCCTCTTCTTTTTTCCTCTGAATGAGATCCTCCTTCCTATGGCTGTTTCTCAGGCTGTCATATTAGATAACTCTAGTGCATCTGTTAGGTTGTCACAGGCAGGGAATTCATTTGGCCCAAGTGTTGAAGATTTTGGGTTTGTTGCTAGTTGGGTTTCTGCTGTCAAGTACTCAGCTTCCCTTGCTTCTGTTGTTGGTAGTCCGATCCAGATGTCCATTTGCTGCTGCACCCTTGGAGGGCCTGGAACCCAGGGTTGTGTGAATGCTAGACAAGCTGTATACTACTGACTACACACAGCCCCAGTTATCCTTTGAAGAATCACTCACCTTCCCTTCAGGAGAATTTCTGTGATTTAATAATCAAGATGTCTTTCTCCTCACTGATCATAGCTCTGTCCTCCCTATGCATGTCACACACAATAGGCTAATCAGATTTTCTTTTCCAGGACCTTGAGTCTCCAGTGCAGTGACATAAAGTAGGAAATAGACTGAACTGAGTCATACTGACAGTGGTGCTGTGAAAGCCAATCAGTCCTGACACCTAGGTCACTCAACTGTTCTGGCTTTTCTGTCTAGCCTAGTGGCATACACCATCCACCTATTCACCTCCAGCACATCCCTCTTCTGGATTAAGTTAGTGCCTGTTTCTGATCTTAGTAACAAAACATGCCTGCATTCTTTGTCATGTTGCCATGATAAGAGCTATTTGACCACCAAATTAAATGTTGAAAAAAATGAGAAGACACTCAGAATAATTTAACCTCACAAGAGTGAATCTGAAACAAGTGATCCTTCCAAGAAATAAAAAAATATATTAAAAATAAAATATAAAAGTGAATGCAGGAAATGACAGGCAGTTCATATATGCTTTGTATTTTTAGGGTTACAAAACCAGTGTTTTCCTTTTATTTTCTAATGTTCTTTCTGCACCACTGGTTTTCTATTCTCAGGTGAAAACTCTGCTTCATGGAAACTCTGCAGCCAATTGTGCCTTCTTTCCACCATTGGCACCTGATTTACAGTCCCTGTTGATTCCCTCATCTACTCCTGGTCCTCCTGTGCATGGCTGCCCTTTTGAGTCATAGCAAAGAGCAGCAAGGGCTGTCTAAGCCCCTAGGCGAATCCACCTGGTGGCCCAGCATGGGTAGGCAGAGGGGTGAAGGAAGGGGTTCTAATTTTTCAAGCCACTGCAAATTCCAGTGTGGTGTGGACAGGCCCTGGGTTAGCAGACAGGCTGTCAGGAGGATCTGGAAGAGTGGGCCACCACAGATGTGCATTGGCATCACACTGAGGGCTGCAGAGGAATTACCAAGCTAAGACCAAAGGGAATCGTACCTCAGAGGCTCCGAGAACTCCATTGAGAGCCAGGGCCAGGCTAGCTGCACAGGGAACTCTGACCCCAGTCAGCCCAGAGTCAAGACCTTGTGTGCACCCCTTGGATCTTTTGGTTTTAATTAAAATTTCAAAAAAATTTTTTTCGTACAAGTTGTAGTACATAATGATTACATTCTTTACGGAGGACTGGTACATGTACATAATATATCTTAATTCTTTTTATTTCCCCTTCCCCTGTCTCTTGCATCCATACATATTGACAGCCTGTGTGGTTAGGAAGTCATTCAAAGAAGTTGGGAGCTACTTATTCAGGTTTTTCTGCCACTGCCTTACTTCACCTCCCCTTCTCTTATCTGCAGCCCACCAAAGAGTAAGCAACACAAATCCCATGGATTGGATCAGAATGAGGCAGAGGTCTGGTACCATCCTGTATTCTCCTGAGGGCTTTACTATGGGGAGAATGAGAGTATTGCAAGGGGACTGACAAGGCCAGAGAGGGCCATATTTGAGAAACTTATCTATGAGAGGCTGGAGGACTTGGATACTGCTTTTAGATGGGAAATCAGCTGGGGTCTTTTAGTTGTGTGACTACTGGCATAGCTGAATTTGCCCTACCAGGTATTCCATTGTAGCATGCAGCAGGATCCACCTGTTGGCTAATTTGGTCAGGGAGACCTGGTATAGTCTCAACAGGTAAAGTCTGTTTTGGCCTTAGCTGGAATCTGAGAACTGCCCCCAAGTTTTGCTAGCAAATCTCTGCCTAGCAAGGGAGTAGGATACTGTGGGACAATTACAAACTCATGGTTAAACACTGGCCATCAAAGTGACACATCAGAGAAGGGGTAAAGAATCTCTGATTAGGGGTCCCGTAAAGCCCAATTATGGCTATAGACCTAGAGGCAGGTTTCCCAAGAAGGAAGTCAAAATTTAGTGGGCTGCCCCTGTGTCAGTAAGCAGTTGAACTGGCTCACCCTTGATATCTCAGATTACCCAGGGCTCCTCAGAAAAGACCTCAATGTCTGTGTAAGGAGCGTTGCAGGTTGTTGGAGCAGTTGTAGAAGCAGGAAATGAGGGTTCTGGCTGGCCCACCCCCTCTCTATGAACAGGTACAGTCAGACTTCCAGTGCCACGAGACAGGCACATCAGCTGCCTCACATTCAGAGCAGGGCCCAGGCAGAGGCTTGGTGCAGTCTCTTGCACCCAGTCTTCTTACACTTGAAACAGGACCCCTTTCCTCAGTTGTCCCTGGGTTTTTCCTTTAGATGACCTGGCTGAGTTTAAAGCATTGCCAATTGTGATAGCTATAATCTTAGCCTTTTTTTTTTTTTTTGGTCCTTCCTCTGGGTCTCCATAGTTGAACACAGAAAAGGCCATGTGTCAGCCCACCTGAAGTTTTTGTAATTTGTGCCAGATATCTGGGGCTGATTGACAAATGAAATGATGTCCCACTAGTGCATCTTCCTTCCTGGAGATGAATCTATATTAGCACATTTATGAGAGATTTATTCTAATTGGTTACACAAGACAGCTGGATTTTCCTCTGTGCCCTGTGTGACCCTACTCACTTTATCATAGGTAACAGATTTCTTAATGGACATTTTCATCCTCGTGGATGAAAGCAGCTATAATGTTAGACATCAGTTTTAGTCCCTTACTATCATTATAGTCTCAGTTTGGTTCTGTTGAAAGGAGAATAGCCTCACCAGGGTGGTTTCCTTCACTTTTTAAAGCATATCGCTCATCTTCATGGTTCCTAGCCTCTTGTAGGATTCTTTGTCTTTCACATGGGACAGAGCAAGTGGCCAAGATGAATTGGACATCTCGCCATGATAGGTCAAAAGCAAGGATCTAAGTTTGAAACCCATCTGCAAACTTACTAGGGTCCTCTGACAGTTGGCCTAGTCGGTCTTCTCACTGCTGGACATCTGCAACTGAAAAAGGAGCCTGAATTCAAGTACTCCCTTCCATGCTATCATGAGGAGGCATGATAGGAAGCTTTCAATGGAATCCTGTCTTTCTATTTTTTCTACATATCACTGGTTCTTGTGAGAAGTCCACTGCTTTTGTGCAGTATTCTTTCTTGAAGGCCAGTGTTTTAGAGAAAGATCTCAGTACTTTGGAAGGACCTGTCTGAAAATGAATTAATTTGTCTTACTGGCCTGCACTTGCAGCATTGTTCAAGACAGCTTTCTTTCTTCTATCTGGTTTCTTGACCAGAGAAATGTTACCTGATGGATATGACCCATTAGGTCACAAGCAAGTGAGCCTTTGGAGCCAGGGTGTCCTGAGAGAGAAGGCAGGGAAGATGGGGAGAAATGGTCTTGCTGGAACCTGTTGGACCAGATTCTACCAGGGTTATGGGTTATATCTTGGTTCTGTGTTTTATTTTTTTCTATTTTTTATTTTTTTGTTTTCTGGTAGCTTTATTACTAGTATTGAGACCTCTTTAGGAAATGACTGCTTCAGAGTTGTCTTCTAGACATAGCTGGCTTTTGGCTTTTGAGTATGTCCCAAGATTTTGGCTCTTCAAGTTATTAGGGAAGAAAGGTTGGTACCTGTCTTGCCTAGCACCCAATTCTTTGGTACAGGGCTATAGTATCATTTATAATCGCCAGATGCACTAAGTATTGGCATGCAAGCAAGATCAATTGATCACAACAACTCTATCACCTCGGCTAAAGTAGTATAATCAGAAATAACATTAGCATCAAGCATAGACTAGAAAATGACAAACTGTGATAACTATTAATTCACCACCTTTAACCATAGGTACAAGATTTAGTTATATAAAAAGGTTTAAAAATTATATACTGTAAATATTCACTCAGTAGAGGAATTTTACCTTAAGGGAAGAAAATTTTAAATGGATAAGAGGAAAAAAATAGAGAAATAAAAGAAGAGAAAGAGACTAGAAGCAAAGTTGAAGGGGAAAGGAAGATTATTCAAGCCTTGGGAAATTGGTGAGGAAGTTAGGGGAAGAAAGAATGAAAAAACAAAAAGAACAAAACATAACTAAAACTAAAAACAATATTCACCCTCACAAAAATAAAATCAATAAAAAACCCCTCCAAATCAACAACAACAACAACAACAAAAAACCCCAAATCAATCAATTAAACAAACAAAAAAGCAAAGAAAAAATTTCTCTGTGATTTGAAGCCTATGGTTATCTTCTGGGGTCTACAGCTTTGTGGTTGTGTCTAATTCAGGGTGTGACTTTGCACTTACTGGTAGACAAAGGAGGCAATCAGAGCCCAGATCCATGCTGGATAATCCTAGCAAACCTGCAGTAGCATTAGTGTAGAGTGCTGATTTTGGTACTTTCAAATCCACAAAGTTTGGACTGATCTTGGCCTCTGGTTGTGGGGTTGGGGCCTCAGTCATTCAGCCTACAACACTCTGGGTGTCTCTTGCTGGCATGACCACAACTCCCTGGTCCTGGATGTCTTTCTCAGTTGTCCCTTGCTCAGTCACTGTTGGATTTCAACACTGGGAGCACAGAGATGAAGGCAACCCACAGGTGCTCTGAGTCACGGGTTCAGTTGGCCCTTCCTAAAATGGCATCTGACCAAGCACAGCAGTCACCTGGACTGGAGTCCTCACCAGCTGCTGCAGCGCACAGCATCCAGTGTCTGTTCCATTGCTGTGTTTCTCCCTGGAGTCCTCTGGAGTCTTCTGCCCTCACTTTGTCTCTGTAGATTCAATCCTCCTCTCTTGTGCCGTAAGCTGGGAGCCAGGGAGAAAGTGCATATTGCCCATTCCTTTTTCTGCACTGATATCTGTCCCTCCCTCCACTTTCCCTGTAGGCTCCAGTTTTCCCTTCAGTTCCTTCCTGGGTACTGGGATCTACATCCTTCTTTTTCTTCCCCAAGTTGTTATTTTCTATTGTCTGGCTTCCAAATCTTGGAAAGGTTAACAGACCTTCAAAATTGTATTCTTTTTGTTTCTGTTGAGGCTCTTTGGAGAAATGTAAATGGATTAGATTCTATGCTCAAGAATATGTCTGCCATCTTTTTATTGATCATGTGATTATGACATCAAACTGAATGTGCTTAGGAATGTGCCTTCCTCTACTCGTGATGAGGCTTCCAAATGTGTGTGTGTGTGTGTGTGTGTGTGTGTGTTTCCCTAATAAAAGCCTCTAGCTTACTTTGTTCTGGGAAAACACTGTTTAAATTAACTCCAGGGTTCTTTTAACTTGGAGCAAGTAGCAGACTCTTTGCTGATTGTGCTTGTCTCCTTTGCATTGTGCAAAAGACAAGCTCATTGTATTTTCTCCCAAATAGAGAGGAGAGGAAATTGTATAAATTACTTCACTTTGTATTTCTTTGAAAGTCAGAACTGAGTCCTATAAGGAGGCCTTTGTCTAAATGTCAGTAGATAGTTAAGCCTAGGATTAATGAAATTATCTTAAATTACCTTTATTAAACATGGGCCTTGAATTCCTGGCCTTGAAAAACCCTCCTGCCTCAGTCTCCTAAGTAGCTGGGACTATAGGCAGCCACCATACCAGACTCTAGGGAAATTTTAGTTTGGATAAAATTGTTTTCTGAGCTGGGTGTGGCAATGTGCATCTGTAATCCCAGCTACTCATGAGGCTGGGGCAGAAATTCAAGGCTAACCTGAGGAATTTAGTGAGACCCTGTTTCCAAACAAGGGGGCCCTGGAGATGCAGCCCAGCATGGGCAATGGTTCCATCCCTTGTACCACAAAACGAAACAAAAAAGAAACATTGTTTTCTGGAACATGCATTAGGAAGGGAAAGATGTATCTTTTGGAAAGAATTAAGGACATCATATTACAGTGATACATGCATACCCATGTTTACAGCACCATAATTCACAATAGCTAACTAGTCTATCTGTCCACCAACAGATGAATGGATAATGAAAATGTGGTGTTTACACACAAAGGAATACTACTCTGCCATAAAGAAAGATAAACGAGTCATTTGTAGGAAAATGAATGCACCTTCAGATCATAATGTTAAGTGACATAAATCAGACACACAAATTTAAATGTCACATGGTTTCTCATATATGAGAAATAGAGCAAATTCTAAGTAAAGAGCAAAATAAATAAAAGATTGTACGAAGTAGGGAGATCTTTCTCAAATGGGGAGGGGATCAAGAGGTGAAAGTAGGGAAAGAGAGAGGAGGGGATGGAAAAAAATAATTGCGATGTGTTCTGTACATGTGCCAATGCCACACAAGGAGTGTCAACATTATGTACTGCACACATGTACTAATAATTGAAGGACCCTAGTTAGCAAGACAGACTCCATGTTGCTGCTTGACCCACCTGCCGGCCCTTTAGATGAACTCAGAAGGAGGAAGCCTAGAAACCTCCTCCCCTTAGAGAGTCTCTTAAAAACAACAATTAATCAACTATTGTTTTACAAATGTTCTAACAGCAGGACGTTCTGCTTCTGTACATTTTGCTTGCTTTACTAGTTCTATCCCATAGGGGAGTCTAGAAACTGCTGGCCTCAAAGGTGTATAAAATATGTTAATTTCCCCCTAGTTGAGGCTTGAGTCTGATGCTCAGCTCGGTCCCAGCTGGTAATAAACTCCTGTGTGGATTTAATATCTGTCTCTGGTTGGTTCTCTCTCACGGGGTGCAACAATAATAAAAGCTTACAAGAACCAATGGGATGCTTCAGCTTACAAAAACATGGCTGGGAAAGAAAGATGAAAGGTGGGTGATGAAGAACTTTTAATTCCTGGATGGCCATGAAATCACTGTACGGAATGGAGCCACGGAGGTGCTTTGGATCAGTTACTCAAGATAAAAGTTACTAGTGGAATTTAGAGACGTATCTAACTCTTAGTGAGTTGGTTTACTGGGCACAAAAGGAAATGAAAACTAAAAAGAAACACAAATTGTGCAATTGCTGGCTATTGCTCTCTGTAGTAGCTAAAATGAAATTAAAAGAGATTACAGTGGCAACTTTGATTCCAGACCAACTCAGCTTTAGCTCAGAGATCTGGCCACTAGCCCTAAAGCTACTCCCCACCTCCAACCCCCGAAATTGTTCAGGGACAGCAGAAAGTATGTCTAAGAAGGTGGGTGGCCAATGTGGAGGAAGACTAAACACAATCAATAATAAACCTGTCAAACTGAAGGGTGTAATGTGAATGCACTGTTTCACATGTACATTTGTATACTTGTACACTTGTAAATGTGTAGATTGATATCACCAGATTCCCAAAAAGCCTTTATGAACATGGATTCTGAGAATAATTAGTTTAAGAATAGAACCTCTGATGTTAAAGTATGG